GGAACTAGGAGCTAAAGTAATTGAAGGATCGGTAAGTTAAAAAGTGAATGTTGAACATATTTGTTGTTTGTAGATATAAAACATATGTAATGATATCATAAATGTAAACCTACCAAACGTGGGTGAAACAAACTAATTGTTATTCATAATTAACTGGAGTAATGCATGCAGTATTGACAAATACATAGATGTGTGTGGCACAGTGTAGCCTCATGGACTTTCAAGTGGAAATTCTGGGGTGTGAGACCAAGATTCGTCACACTGCTTGTGTCCTTGGGCAAGACACTTATCTACATTTGCCTCTCTTCACCTAGGAGTAAATGGGTAACTTGTAGGAGGAGAATAATTCTGAATGAAATTAGTAGTGCTGATTACACGCATAACTAGGAATACTCCCCAGCGATCAGAGGATGTTGCACATGATTGATTCTGTATCCACTTACCAGGGAAAGGTTTTCTGGATATGTGCGTTATATAAATCCTAGTATAAAGATAAATAAAATAATAAAAATACCAAATAAAGAACATTAAGCCGATGAACAGTAATTTATTTTACTCCAGTAAAATTGTGAATAAGAATATTTGTGTCTTAAAAGCTGCATTAAAAAAAAAAGTAATGAAAGTAAAATTGAATAAGTGAAATGCACTTAAAGGGTATTTTTTCATATGTTTAGTTAATATGCTGTGTACCATATCTTGTAATATCCACACATTTTAATATTTGAGCTTACAGTTTGTTGTTAATATCAATTGGAATATTTATTTTATATCCATTTTCACAGTATGCCTTTGAATGTGACAAAGTGGCATCTTTGCCATATGTTGGTTTTATTCTTGGTGGAAAGGCATTTTTCTTATCTGGAGAAGACTATGTTCTTAAGGTTAGTATAGTAGTTTAATTTTTTCCCCTGGGGGGCTGGGCTTCCCCGACAAGGGGTGTGGGACCCCTCAACCTATCAATATGTGAAACAATTAATAAAATAACCCACCTTCTAACAATCAATCCAACAATCTAACAAAATGTCGATCACTCATTCTATGAGCCTACACTAATAATATAATAGCGCCCTCTCTAGTCTAAAGGAGTATTTATGTGCGATGTAAGCAGGAAATCAATTTAATAATCAATCTGGTACAATGTAAACAGAATGGAATGCCTGTATGGTCTGGTGCTGCATCTACTCTTCCTCTGGTCTGCCTGCATTCATTCGACTGCTCGGTACATATAAGAAATTTTATAAATATACTGAAGATCAATCAATCAATCAATTTACTGGAATCTTACTTGTGGGACAGTGTTGGCGCATTCATGAACTCAGAATAACAAAAAGAAAATAAAACATCTGAAATACATAAAAGTACAAGTATAAAATCATAAAAGTGTACAACAAAGTGTATTTTGTTTATGTGGGTGCATCAATATTCGTTACACCCAAAAACAAATATAAAACTAAATAACAAAATAAATCTCACTGGTTTAACAAATTTTTTAAAAAGTAAAACCAGTATATTCGCCCTTCGGTGTACATAGTTTTGCCTACTGGTTGAGAGTCAGTGAAGCTGTTCACATTAAAAGAGCAAGCAGTGAAGCACACTGGTTGTACAAAAGCAATACCACTTAAAACTAATGTGTAAACAAAGATGCAAAGTAAAATATGTATGTTTCAGCATATTTTATTCAAATTTCATATGCAGGGAAATATCTCCACAATATTTTTTACAATGTTTATATTTTTATTGTAGGTTTCACAGGGGAGTGAGACCATCTGTTTGAGTGGGTTTCAAGCTCTTGATATACCTCCGCCTGCTGGCCCTCTTTGGATTCTTGGTGATGTGTTCCTCGGGAAATTTTACACCGAGTTTGACAAGGGTGCTGATCGTGTCGGCTTTGCTGAGGCTGTGTAAAGCTTTGTCAACACTATCAAATTTTCTTTGACAAAAAAATGTTTTATGCCCATATATAGTCATGATGTGGCTGTATATGGTCATGATGTGATGTCATCATGACCATATTTAGGCATGTCATGTTTTTGTCAAATAAAATCTGATAATCTGGACAGGACTAACAGTTTCACTCAGTAAGTTGAAAGTTACAAGAAGTATAATATTAATTTGTTATCAACTTATTATTGCAAAGTCCAAATGTTATATTTCCTAAGCCCTCTTTAGTGTTTGCAATAGCTTTAAAATAAATAAGTCAGTACTGCAAGGTGTGTTGATTTTTTCATGAAACAGGTACAGATTTGGATTAATAGAAAATAGCAGTCAATTTACTTAAATGTTTCTTTTGAATTTATTCATTTAGCATTTTATATGATAAAAAGCTCTATATTTTATATAATTTTATACCTTTCCAGAAATGGTTTCTGCTTTCCAGGCAAATCTTAATTTGAAATGAGAGCATTTATGTTAAGTATTAGACCTATACATATAGAATACAATAGATGTACAGGTGAATGCAAAATTATATGATATGTTTATGTTATTTTTATTAACTCAGTTATACAATGTTTATACATTTTTTTTGTTAAATGGAATGCAGAAAACATGTAAAATAGCAAATAAGGAAAGCTAGACAATAAACAACTCAGTTACTTTGGCAGTATTATAGGCAATAACATATAAAATTTGACAGTGGAAGTGTCATTTGGCATTTTTGGTGGTCAATAAAAGTACTAAATACCTGAATTGTTATCATTCAATTGTATGGGCTGAATCGTGGATATTTCTTGGTCCCTGGTTCAATTGTCTGCTCTCATTGTGTTTCATCTTCCGGATGAGTGTGCAATATGGCTCATGTGCATGTTAGAGAACGCGAACTGTACACTCTTTGGAAAAGAGTAGGGGATTGTCTCCCCAATCACCACCAGAATGACCCCACTGAAAACATGTCTTTTGTGGATTATCCTCGGTGAATCAGCTGGTAATCAGCTCACTGGTATCCAATCCTACCGGTACCTGCTTGTACAGTACTTCTATGTGGAGACATGCATATTAAAGAACACAAACACAGGAGACCCAAGTTGAAGTAGGAATGACATCAGTCGGGAAACACAATTTAACATAATAGAATCTAAAAATAATCGATTTTACAAAAGATTCTGAACTCCCCTAGACCACTTCTGAAAGATAGTGGGTGACGCCCGACCACGCCCACTTTGCTCTCGTCGGGAAACCCACTCTGTTGGGTAAGTACTGGCTCCACCCCTGAATTAAACCTCTTTGATGCAGAAAAAAATAGGTTAATTCAGTTGCCCAAGGGTACCAAAAAAAAAAAAGAAAAGAAAAAAGCCCCAAAATAACGACCAGCTGGGCGCTTGAATCTGTATTTTGGATTAGAAGAATCAATAGCATGTGATGTTAATTGTTATATCGATGATTTCATTTTGTAGAGGTTAGTAACAATGCATTGAAATAAAATGGTGTAGATTGAAGATGGAAGTTTCTATTTTGAAATTTTAAAGTTGGTCTTGATATAATATTAAGAACTATTGTTAACTAATACAACTGAAAGACACACAAATTTGGAACTGTTTCCAAAGTTTTCCGTAGAATAATGAGTTGTACAACATATCAAAAAAATCTTTTCCTCCAAAGCCTGGCCTTAATCAAGTGTATGTGTGATAATTATTTTCGATTATTTATTTTCATAGAAGTTAATAATAGTGTACTGAAAAAAGTAGTAAATAGCTTGAGGATAGAAGTTAATTTATATTTTGAATATTAGATATATTTTTGAGTTAAAAAATTTGGTCTTCGCGATAAATAATTATTTTTTAAGGCCAACTCTTGAAAATGTGTGCAGTTTGTGCAGTCTTCGTTTTAATTCGGTTCTTTGTATTATATTAATTTAATTCAATTTCTATTATTATAAATTCTCCCAATAATGTCATCTCATCTGGTTCTTTCCATATCATTGGCATGTACTTTCTGCAAACTAAGCTGGAATGGCCCATAAATCATGAATTGACGCTGATATTTTCAAAGAGTCTAATCGTTGAAAAGAAGGATTTTAAATAACACACATTTAGAATCTTAATTATGCTCACTTCGTATATTTTATGTTTGCTGCCATCATCTGGTTTGTGCGCTCATGTCTTGAAACGTTATGAAATCTAGACCATGACTAATAAAGTTACTCTCATATCATAGTTGCAATCTACAAATTACTCATTGTAATGTTTGTATAACTAATTTAATACAAACAATAACATGAACTAATGAAACTCTTTTGTTTGAAAAAGTATGTACCATCTAATTTAGTTTCATATTTTTGCACGTTTATCTAAAAATCGACCTTCAGGCCCGTATCCAGGGGGGGGGGGTTATGGTTCGGGAGAACACCTCTTTTCTGGCAAAACCCCCTCTTTAAATTTCCCAAATAAGTCCTCCAACCCAACTAATGCACTGCAGACCCACCCAGACACAGATATTTTCAAACATATATGCTTTTATAGCATTATTTAGACCTGTAAAGCACAAAAATCCTCTTACTTATGGGGTTTCGCCGACCCCACCGGGGCACTGTGGACCTCACGCCCAGAATCCCCCCCCCCCCCACCGGAAGAACCTGGCTACGGGCCTGACCTTATTTGGCGTTTTTCCCAAACATGTTAAATGTAATGATAATATTAAGCAAATATTCAACTTTAACTCTTTGTTATACAAAATGTACCGAGATAGTTGACTCTATTAATATTCTGTATTCGAAGGCTGTACCGGATGCTTCTCGGATTTAAGAAAAAATTGCACACTATGATTAAAGTAAAGGAAATCAAAAGGGTTTTGTGTTTTTAAATCACAAGGTTAGAGGGCGTTTTTACAAAACTAAATAGTGTCTATATTAAATAGACACTGCTGTCTATATAATGTCTACATTCTTGACATTTTTCACCATTGAAATTAATATACCGTACTGTATCTATTCGAATAAACCTAAATGCCTATTAGCCTACTATTCCTATATCGTCGTTCTTTCTCCGGATTAACATCAGTACACTACACAAATGTATACGTGCGCTGTTTCATGAATGTTTGTTCTGTAGACAATCTTGTAGACATCGACAACCAATATTGAGAACTCAAATAATGCATTCTTTTGCTGTCATTCATAATATTATTACCATGTAATTATGTCTATACTCTTTATCTTAAAATGTACAAACGAAGGCCTATTTTAAAACCGAAAGGTCCACTGATTAGAAAGTATAATACATACCGGTACTCCAAGTATTGAAATACAAGGCCTATTTTAATGCTGTATTTGAATATGTACACCTAGTCCACAACTCTGTAAGCATTATCGACAATATTTATATACAATATATTACAATTACACTACTGTATATATATACCAAGACTTACAATTTATAGTATAAAAAAGTATCAAAATAAAAGTTACATTTGGATTGGATAGGATTTCTCCGGTGTAATTATTAATATTATACACCAAGGAAACTCTAGGCAGAGAGAAAACTTTGTTTAGTTACTAACTAAACAAAGTTTTCTCTTTGTTTAGTTAGTCTCAATGGTAAAAACAACCAGTTGGTCTCAATGGTAAAAACAACCAGCTTGGCGCTTGAAAGCCTATCTTTTGATGGGAAGCCCAATCATTTACTGCTGCACTACCACTTTCACGAATCAGCAGTGTGTGATAAATATGTTCGATGATTTAATTTTATAATAAATTGAGTATAGAAGTTGATGTCTATTTGGAATATTAAATATATTTTTGAGTTTTAAATTTGGTCTTTGGGACATAATAATTTTTTTAAGGCCAACGTCTGATAATTTGTGCAGTTTGGATAGTCTCTTCGTTTTTATGGTTCTGCGTATAATATTTATTAAATTTAATTTCTGTAATTAAAAATCCTCACAAAAATGGCTACCTCCAAATTGTCATATCAATCCGATTCTTTCACTATCAATATCATGTAGTGCAACTTTCTGCAAACTAGGGTCGCTAAGAAATCACAGATGGACGCTGGAACTTTCAGAGTGTATCCTTTTGTTTAATTTTGCAGTCCACTCTCATTAAAGAGATATTATGAATCTTAATTCTGCTCGCTTGTAGTTTTATGTTTGCTGCCATCATCGCGCTTGTGCGCTCATTTTGAAAGGTGATTACTATACATCGAATTTAGTCTTATATGTGCACTTGTCTAAAAAATACCAAAAAAACAAACAAACAAACAAACAAAAAAAAAAAAACCGACCTCATTTGGCGTTTTTTTTCTCAAACATGTAATGGTAATGCAAATATTATTATTATTATTATTGCGGGCATTTCCAATTTTAAGAAAACATGTCTATACTGTATTCAAAGTGCTTGACATTAAAATTAATAAACATTTTATTAGTAGCATTATCATTAAACTGAATAGTCGTTATCAATTTAATTCTGTTGTAATAATAGTAGTCTGATCAAGTAATACCTTATGTTTGTACAAAAAGTATGTCGATTGCTAAGTATATTAATAATCTGGTTATTCATGCTAAATTAACTTATAATACGACGTTGCTCTTTCTCCTGATTAACATTAATACACTACAGATGCATACGTGTATTGTTGAATGTTTGTTCTGTCGGATGTAATGACAGTTTTGCAGACATCGACAAGCAATATTGAGAACTCAAATAACACTTTATTCTTTTGCGGCCATTCTCTTTGCTAGCATTTATAATATTACTGATGAATTTATGTCTAGTTAATCTTTATTTTTAAATGAAAGCGAAGGAAATATAGAAATTAAAAAAAACTACTTTAATGCTGCATTTGAATATATACCTAGTCCACAATATTTTAGAAACTATTTACTTTAAATATTTCGGATATAATTACTCTATATTTTACTACAGGTTTGTTGGGTAAAACTTACAACTAATTGATACCGAGAAGATTAAAGAGGAGGTATGGAATATATAGACAGAAAAAAGTTACTAGATTTATAGTAGAAAAATTGTGTACATAATAATATCAAAATTATGTACTTTAGGATTGGAATGGAATTTTCGGTGTGAAATACACTAACGATGACCCACGCAAGTCCAGACTTATTTCCAGTGGGGTCCTTTTTTCCTTTTGGTAAAAAATTGAACAATCCTTACAGTTTTCTGAAGATCGTTCTTTCAAGGGTATTTACATTACTGGTTCTGGGATATGATTGATTGATTGATTGATTGATTGAATTTATTCGTAATCAGAGTCATAAAATACATACATAAAAACAATTTACAAAATACCGAAAAGATGAAAATTGCACAAAACATGACCCTAATTAACAGCCCAAAAATGGTAAAACTTATTTCTACTGGAGTGAAGCGTCAACAGAGGGGCGGGGCCTGAGTTATTG